CAGCGTAAATAAACAAGAGAGATTTTTGATAACAGACTTAACTTAGGCATCCCCTCCGACTAATATTCCAAAATGAAGCCTCCACACTATAGTTGTCCGTGGCCAGTGAAATTTTAGAACATTACAGTTTAACAAATTTATACATGAAAGCCGCTTATTTTCATAACCAGCGTCCATTCACCCCCACCGCATGCGCCGAGACTGATCATGTGACATCTTTCCCCAATCCAAGGTTGTTGACAAGCGCACGAGAAGGTTTGCCTTTTTATGTCGCGAATACAGGAACCACCATTAAGGCAACTGGTCATCTGACAACCCTGGAGAAAATACATAAATAAGTCGCCCGAAAGAGATGATACTTTATCCTTAGCCATTGGTAACAAACAGCCATTGTGATAGCTAGCAGGCGGAGCCAGCCAGGAAGCTAGAATCTCTCCTGTTTCAGAAAATTATATTTTCAGTGCGTGCAGTGAACGTAACATTAATTCTTCCACGTATGAAGAGAACAGCGTACTAGCGTCGTCATGGCAACCGAACTTATCAATATTGCGGTTTTACTTTTCATGAAGAGTTATAGTTTTTTTACTGTACCGAGAGAACTAAGCTTTAATTTAAATCTTTTTGAAAAAGGAAGAGTAATTTATATCAGAAGATCTTGGAATATGATCAGCAAAATATTGCATGCATGTGAAAAGTGTTCTTTTCTGCTTTTCACTTATTGATTTATTCATCATTATTTTGGCACTTTAGGTAAATTACGTCGTCCCATATGTGTCATGTTTTACGCCGTCATAGCAGTGCTTGCTTTATTATTTTTTGTTCTGTTCAATAGCATCGTGTTCGCTAGTTTTCTCTCAGCATTTGGTAAGTTCCCGTCTCGTTGTATCTTTGTATTTATCATCCTCCCTTTTTCAGTCGTCACCGACAAAGTAAGAAGGGCAGGGAACCGTAGGTTAAATTGACTTTCAATGACTGCCTCTTTTTGGAGGGAGATAGGTCTTACAGAGGTGAAGGTAACGTGACACAAAAAAGTCCTCCAACCCTTTCTTCTCCGAAATATATAATGACCACCCCTTAAGATAATCAATAATCAGAGAAATAGAATTAATAATCAGAGAACACATATGCTGTTGATTCTGACCTTAAGTAACATCGAGAGAGTCGTTTCTTCGTCGTCAAAGAAATTGTTGTTTTCGTTAACAGTGGACGTGTCGTGCTTGTTCAGTTCACAAGTTCCTTTGTCTTTCCCCTTGAAGGAAAACTTGAAGTTGGTGGAAGTACACCAGGTATTTATCAGACATTGGTGACCGCAAGATAACAAACTGGGTGAATCAAACCGTTTGGCAACATATCCATTGAGCCTCCTATTTTGCAAGGTTTCAAAAAATGAAAAACGAGAAATTTTGGTGTTGTTTTCGGCGGAAAAACGTACATTACCCAACAAGAATAACAATACAACCGTCGTCTTTAAAGCCATAACTTGTTCTGTTGCAATATGGAATAGTCTTTGCAGCCTGCGCTTCGTACTTAAAATAAAACTTGTCGCAGCATGTGAAGACACCTGTGGGTTTTTGCATTAACTAATTGCCCCACTACTTTAACAAAAATATCAACAAAAATGTTGACGCTCCGGGAGAAATTGCTTTCTAGCGATTGACTGAATCTCCAGTTTTCCGTTCAGTTTGAAAGCGTCTAATTATGCTCTGACAGTCTTATGTCATGAACATATATATTTCGCCTTGAAAGCGATTAATTGGCTGACAGCGAATTAGCATGTATTGCAGCCGGCAATTAAAAAACGTATTCTAATTCTTTAACTCCTCATGCATATCTCGCTTTGAAAGCGATTAGTTGGCTGACAGCGAATTAGTGTATATTTGGGCAATTTAAAAACGTATTCCAATTCTTCCTCAACTCCTCGTGGGATAAAAAGCTGCAAAATTTCACGCAATAAAAAGATTCGCATATGTTACAGGATGTGTTACTGCTTTCTTGATCAAATATCTTATTGGAAAGGAAAAAAAAAACTCTTCTCGAATCTGCTGGCGGATATCAATCAGAAATTTAACAGACGACATCAATACACAAGGAAGGCTGGGGAGAGAGAGAAATTTCAACCAGGATGGGCGAGCCAATGTGAAGAAATATTGAGAGAGGTAAGGTTAGGGGAGTGCTCCTTCCCGCCCCTCCCCCTACCGTGGACTCTAACTCCAAATTAAACTATAATAAAGCTTTATCTCAGGACAAATAAAAATCGTATCTCAAATTTCGGGATTATTTCTTTACTTGAATTTGTATCATGTGGAATAGTATCCCTGATGATATCAAGTTGGCTGAATCCTTGGGTTCATTCAAGTGCCAACTTAAAGCAAAATCTTTTAAGCGTCTTTATAATGTTTTCTATGGGGACGACTTTCGTTCATTTAAGATTACCTGTCCCAAATGTAGAAGAATAAATTCATATAGTGCACGCACTCGTTAATTATGAATTAATCAATTAACTTATTCATTTTTGGTTGATGGATTAGGGAAGGGTTTATTTTTCCTTGTTTTTAAATTATTATTACCAAAGGGCTGGGTTGGTAGTCGAATCTTGTAGGGGATTTTATGTCTTATTAGTCGTACTACCCGTACATTGTAAAAGGTGAGCAAATCTTTAAATAAAGAGATACAAAGTAAACATGGCCGGTTGAATGAACGATCTTGCGCTTCTTGACGTTAACTCGTCCTAATAAGACCTCTGCACTACAGCCTCTTCTGGGACAAGCGCACGGCCAGGTTGTAAATGTAAATGTAATTGTACCGTAAATGTCTTCTGAAGCTACTCACTGACTGCATCGGCCAGTTAGCCAGCCAGCCTGGCTAACTGGCCGATGTTTAAACCCTTCCCCGATCCATCAACCAAAAATAAATAAGTTAATTGATTAATTCATAATTAACGAGTGCATGCTCAACATGAATTTACTCTTCTACATTTGGGAAAGGTAATCTTAAATGAACGAACGTCGTCCCCATCGAAAACATTAAAAAGACGCTTAAATCGAGATATTTTAAGGTTTCCCAGATCGCCCGAGAAGTTTTCCACCTTTATTTCATAGAAAGACACAAAACAGTCAGTCGCCACATACTTCTTTTGGAAAAGTAACAATTTGATTCTTTCAATAGCAAGCTTTAGCAGTAAAGAAAACAGCATAATTTATCAAATGAGCGCAGGCCTATTACACTAATCTCGTTCCCAACCCCAATAGATGCGGAGCTCAGGTCCTGTGCCCCGAGCGTTGAGTCATGCAACGAGGTCCCTGAGGAACAAGATTACTTGCATGGATCATACAATGCATAAGACGGTTTTACCCTGCAATAATCGACAGTGACTTTGAACCACATCTCTATCGCTTGTTCTCATCTCATTGTACCAAAATGTATCCCATCGCTTTGATATGTATATTACCATATTTAGCTTCGCTTCCGCAGGTGTTGTCGTCATCATGCTTACCTCCTGTGCCGAACCCGATTCTGGAGTCACAACTGTTGCAGTCCTTCTCGTTATTTCCGAGGATTCCAATGCGAGCTTTCGGTCTTCCTGATCCATCGCATTTCACATTAAACCCCTCTCGGCTGCAATTGGGCTGTAACGATGCCTGTGAACCGATCAGCTTTATCCACGCGTCACGGCCCAACGAGGTCGTGCGACGGTTTCCATCGGCGATTAATGAGTAGAGGGAATTAGCTTGCCGGTTGATGAGTATGAAGTTAATATGTTGTCCGATCTTTATACCGAGGCAGATCTTGGTGAAAGATGTGATCCAATAGGCCGTTAACTTGGTCTCTTGGGAGTCAAAGCCA